TCTTTAGATATTCAGCTCTAATTTCGTCAACACTAGGGCTTTTTTTATTTTTTAGAGTCATAATGGCATTGAAAACATCCTGATAGTCTACTTCAGTTAATACAAATGAATTATTCAGTCTTGTTTCATGCAGATGAATATCAGCATTTTGTTTGATATTATTTGCTAAGTTTCCTCCTATATTCGTGAAAAATTCTATGAACTCATCACATATTTGCTGAATATTGTCTGTTTTCTGTCCTGTTTTTGTTTTTATTTCATTAATATTGTTTTTTGAATAGGATGACTTATTGAATATATCATTGACAGTGGACCATAGGTGTCTAGAGTCATGTGAATTATTATTCAATTGTTTTATATAGTAATTTTTTTGCTTTTCTCAAAAGTTCTATAAATTTGTTTTTATACTGATTATAATGATCTATATTCTTTCGTGGGTAAGTATTTCATGATTTTATACAGTCTTCCTTTTTCGTTTGCAGATTTTATTAGTCCTTTGGTCATCCAATCATTTCTGCTTTTTTCCTTGTGACTTATTTTAACCTTATTAGTACTAACTTCAATTACTTTTTGAATTTTGTGTATTAATAAATTTGTAGCTTCGTCTAAAGAATTTGTTAAAAAAATTTCGTGCCACGATTCCGTTTGTGCGTTAAATATTAATTTTGAGTTGTCAGTGAAATATTTGTATTCAAGGTTTCTTTCATTTTTTGCCCTTGAGCAGTTCTGGTTTTTATTTTGTGAAGATATCAATAATACAGTGGAATAATGATCTGTAATATCGGTTTCATAGATAATAGGCATATATATACAAAGCACATTTACGTAGTAGACAGAATAGTACGAAGCTAGTGGATTACTGATTTATATAAAGATGGTTGAATATAAACTAAACTTCAGATCTTTTTTTAGATTTTTAGATTTATATTATTGTTGGTTTCGAAGATAATGTTCCTAACGCAGTAACTTTGCCGCGCGTGATGCTAGGCGAAATCTGGCAACACCGTCATGTTTGTCGGCTCCACCACCACCGATCCCAACAAGGAGCGCCTATCTAGTTGCTGTGGAATATGTGACTGGCTTTTGATATCTGACAAGTCTCTGTTATTCAAACCTTTTCGCTGTGACATCTTCATTATTTACTTTTTACAATCTTGTTAATAATGGTGAATTATTCAAATGCAGAAATGGCGGAAATGCATTACGTATATGGCCTTTCCGACGTTAATGGTGAGTAAGCCAGACGGATTTATCACCAGAGATATCCCGATCGTGCTTTACCAGATAGTCGAACCTTTTCTAATTTTCATCGTCGTTTTGTTGAAACTGGTTCTGTCCGAAAATGAACATCTGAAGGAGAACCTCTAAGTGTGATAACACCTGAAATTGACGAAGCAGTGCTGCACGAAGCCGAAGAACATCCTGAAACGAGTGCGAGGAAGATCGCTAGAGACTTAAATATTTGCCATCAAATTGTTTGGAGTATTTTAATGGATTTTTTGTTATATCGTTACCATATTGTAAGAGTACATGCATTACTTCCCATTGATTTTACAAGACGTGTGACATTTTGTTAGTGGTATCTTCAAAAAATTACACAAAATCCGCAATTTGAATCAATGACTCTGTTCAAGGACGAAGCTAGTTTTTCTCGAAATGCAATTCAGAATTTCCACAATAATCATTTGTGGGCAGAAGAAAATCCCTATGCCGTAACAGAAACCCATTTCTAACACAAATTTTTGGTACGTATGGGCAGGAATTATTGGCAAACTCTTTATTGGCCCATTATTCTTGTCGGGACGACTTGACGGACAGACATTGTTTGTAAGTGTGTCTTCTGTTTATTGAATGTTTACATTCTGCTGGTTGGGCTGATGTAATGCACTAAACATTGGATCTGACAAAATCACTTATCCCATGCAAGTTTACTTGATGTGTAGAGAATGCTGGAATAATTCATGCTCCCCATTCCCCATTGTACGAGGAATGTAAATTAAGTGATGAATCTGGCAACGTAGCGTTCGATCTGGCAACACTGGAGGCGACGGGTTTGGAGGGGAGACAGGGGAACATGTGATCCGCCCTCAGTACACGTTTGAACTCGCTCGAGTCATTTGGCTGTTCGCAGCGATTTTTTTGTGAAACGGTGTTTTCTATTGTGTTCTAAAAATGAGTGATATCGATTTCAAGCAACATTGTGTTCTCGAATGTGACAATATAAAATTGTAATTACATTTAAATGGAAAATTAAAAAAAAATCAGCCTCGTCACATAATTCACAAGCCTCGTAGTACCTCGTAATAGTCGTGTACTGCAATTCTCAATGTGGGCCAACCGGCACCGAAAATGAAGAACGCCAGGTCAGATATGCTGCCATTACGTAAAGGACGAGTTGCTTAATACAAGATATTGATGTTAATTTTTTCTTGTAACCTGCTTTTGGTACGCGATGCTGTTTATGTTTACGAAGGTATATTATGTAACTTTTATGTAATTGGATTGTAACGTGCCTATATATTAGTGAAAGGGGTTCACAGCTTGTAGTTATAGAGACCTAATGGGCTATTGTTTTTCGCTAACGGGCGGCTTGTTGATATGCTAAACGCTAATTGGGCTGCCGTCGATGTGAAATTATCGGATTATGCACGGTTTGTTTGGCGAGTAAGACTTGTTCCGTGTTTTATAATTTTGTTTTTTGTTTTAGATCATATCTACATCATGAAGACACGCTGATCTTCACCTTCTTATATAAACTGATTTTTTCTTAGCAATGAAAAATCCGGGCTTAATTATATGTTGTCGCGTTAAGCACCATTATGTATCAACAAATTTAATACTGTTTTTTATTAACCAAAGTTCCGGTAACAACGTGCGCTATACAGGGAAAACCAAATTTGTATGACGGCTTGAGCTCAATGTGTATGCGAGATAAGTGTGCATCAACACATGTTAGAAAGAGATAAACGCCGGCTAAAGGGCGAAGGTCAACACCGCATTGCCGCATTGCCTAGCAACGGTGAAGCAGAAGGTCGTGCCATGTCACACTAAACAATTTTGAGTTACTGTCAAATCCAAGAAGGTCTGTTCAAAGATTTAATTTATTATTTTGTTCTTATTCTGATTAGGAATATTCATTTCAATTTTGATCCGACATAAATCAAATCCAAGCGAATAACCAAAATTTCTGTGTGATGTGCCGCGGTTATAATATGGTTCAAGATTACACACGGGTTGATGACGTCAGTTACACGAATCGCTTGAACGCGTTGGTTTTAACCGCGGTTTTGTTGCAAGTTGTTTATTTTAGAAAAGCGCGTATATAATTTCTGATTATTTTTATTATCACTTAATAATCGGTGCTTTTTCGTCTACAACAACTGTATATGGAAAGTTTAAATAAGAAACCTTTCATAATATTCATGGGAGAAATGTTTTTTTCAGTTTTTTTTTTAATGATGGAACCATGGCTTTATAGCTATGATAACTTTCAATTCTCTAAATTTTTCCGCATGTCAAAGAAAACATTATTGATTCAGCAGAAATGGTGAAAAAGAAATTAGCAAAACCGTATACAGGTGGATATCATCTAGTGAGTTTATATGGCCATATTTTAATATTCTTGTGGTATAGTATATGGCTACACAGGATACTTTGTTAAGCATAGGAACTACATTTAAAGTGTCCCCAACAACCGTAATGAGTACAACTAATAAGGTGCTCCACTTTATGGTAAAACTGAAGTCAGCCTGTATCATTTTTCTCAAAAATGAAGCTGAAGTACAATAACAATATCCAATACCCGGCAAAATTCTAACTTGTCACATTTCAAATAATAACCAGAAATATAAAACTACTCTTGAGTTGGGTAAATACAACAATTTTGCGGTGATAACTATGACATACCTGTATAACAGCTGATTCGTGACGTCACGGATCTTATAACCAAACTGATAACTACACTCGCTTGAACGGATTGGTAAATACCAACCCAAAATGGTAAATACCACTTCCATTTGGTTATCCGCTTGAATTTGATTATAGTGTTTCAATTTATTTTAGAATTATCGTTGCTTTCCACTCAATACAAATTATCACCACCTCTTCCAAGGATTACGACCACTTCCCAATACACGCTAGATGGCCATCTACTGACCAAAATCGCTCATCTATGGTCATGGAGGTGGAAACCTTGCCTTGGAATGTATGAGATGCGGTGTTGCCAAGTGAACCAATGATGCAATGTTGCAGAATTTGCGGGGATTCTAAAATGGAATCCAACGATCGGGGAAATTGTTATCTAAATAAGTCCTAACTTGTCTGTAGTAGTGTGGTGGAGCACCATCTTGCTGGAATACAATATCAGTATCGAATTCGTTAGGATTCGCTTCGACGATTAGAGGGTCAATAGTATATTCTAGCATATTCAAATACAGTTCCCCGGTTAAAGTTTGTTCGATGAATAGAGTCTCCACAATATGATTTCACAATATCCCAGTCCAAACCATAATTTTTTGTGGATATTGAGTATGAGTTTCCCGGAAGACGTGACGATTGGTGTCACTCCAATACTGATAATTTTGTCTATCGGGCCGTTCAAGTATTACGTGGTCACTATGGGGAGGGCGGGGGGTTCTTTGCTTTGCTTATTTTGGATGACATGGGGGGTAGCGGAGTCTAGATGATTATTACGTCATCGGTAGTTATTTACTTTTTTACACGAATGGCAACCATCACATTGTCTTTGCTTGAAAACGAAACGCATTTTCGGGGATTCACGCAAATAATGCATACGTTTAGTGAACAGCGCGCGGAAATTCCCCTACTCGCTTTAGAACCGAGTAGGGGAATTACCGCGCGGTGTTCACTTGTCTAAATTTCCTCTATCAGGCTGGTCTAATATTGCCTCATGACCATTTTGGGTCTCATTTGGATGAACGTAGCGTTACAATTGATGAACATTTAGAAAGATCTAATTTCGAATTTGTCGGATATGTATTAGCTGAAGTATGGAGTTAAATGGAAATTGATGGCTATAATTTTAATGCAAACTATGTTGGGGCAGGTGATCAAGATCTTCCTGATTTTCCAGACATTAAATGGTATTCAGAACATGTGCGTGAGAGCCAATACTTGCTTCAAATTGTAAAATGTAGAAATACAGAATGCTGTCGTCCAAGAAGTGGCCTATTTAGATTACTAGACAATAGGTTTCTTCCACCACCTGTAAAAGTAAAACAAACAGTTGATGACTTGGTTTTGGATGAAGGAGGGCAATTTCTTAATCTTCCTGTCAATTCAGGCTAATTGAGGCTATCAAGTCGAACATGCAAAACGTGTGGACTTTATCATGCTTCCGTCAAGTCCATCGTGAAAGTTTCGCGTCGCACCATAAATAAAAATCGCTTCGTTTTTGTCTTCCAATGGACGAAAATTGATCATTTTGAAAATAGTTCAAACACTATCTAGCACTAAAACCGAAAACTAAATAAGAATGTTTTAACTGTATAATAATGTTTGTTTTCGTACTGATATTCTTGCCACTGTTAACAAAAAATAACAAAACAAGTTTCTATCGCTGTTGCTGTGGATACGGCAGGGAATTACAATTATTTGTAGAGATATGCATGTTAGTTGGGTGTGTGTTCAAGTAATTATTAGATGTACCACCATTTTGTAGCAGGTACAGGTATTGACTTTATATTCTAGGGTTATAAAGTACCTGTCAGGAGCTTCAAAATGATGTGCCACAAGACCCCAGTTTTCATATAGTTTTTTTCCAAGATGGCGCCCAGCGGCCATCTTGACATTTTCAACTGTCAATTTTACTCTAAAAGATGGTATCCACGCGTCTAATCTTTTTAATTGATCCATTCAAAAAATCAAAGAGGAGCGGGTACACTAAAGAAAAGCACTGTATATTTTATAACGTCTTCAGGTTTTCGGACCACTTCGTATACAAAGAACTGATAAATATACATATTTATCTCGAATACAAATATCATGCATGCAAATCCTCATTATACTCGTACAAGGAAGGAGTCCTTGCGTGTTGGTTTTGCAGAAATTCCAGAAGAAAGTGGTTATATAATATCTGAACATATGAGTCAGCGTCAATAGCCCAATTTTACGCGACGGATTGCAAACAACTATTGCCGAACAGTACAGTTTGTCACGATGGCTCTCTATCAATATCCAAGAAAGTTTTGTAATATTTTGAAATGGGATTTCCTAACCGGATTAGTTTATAAGATTGTTAATGGATTGTTTAAAAATTGAGCAATTCATTGTTTATGGTCGATTTCCCTCAAGAATATTCATTCAACACCTGCAAATAGTACTGCATGTTTAAGTAACGCCATCTTAAGTCAAGTAGATGGACACAACAACATTTTACTTGTTTGTGATCTTACGTAGAATTTAAAAGATATCTCGAAGATTTTAAGGGAGCGACCTGTCATTCATGCTGATACCTAAAATATGTAAAATATATCAGCCATGTTTAGGTCTATTATTAGAAACAGCAAGAAGCTATAAACTAAGATATTCCAGCGGTTTCGTATTTAGAAAAAAACAAAGGTGTATAGACGCTCCAGTTTTCTCCAAGTCACGATGAAAATGCGCAGTCAAGAAGTGTTTTGTCTTACCAAAACGACTAAGCAGTCAAAATGGCGTCGTGAATAATAAAAGTACCTATATTCCATTTAACCGTGTAATGTGTATACCTTCTAACGGATCATGTTTGCGCCTGAGCTGGTACATAAAAGGTCGCTCCTATATTTATTTTTTGAACGAGCAAAGTTAGCAAGCCGAAAATCTGGACGATGAATACTATATTTCAACGTGAAAATTTCAGTATGGTGGCTGAATGTCATCCTGAAACATTTTTAAATGGATTGGGTAGAGGTGTCGACCCCTGCAAGGAAGACTATTGTACCTCAAAAATATGTTGCACATTGCAGTAATTTTTGTGTAAAGAATGGTATTACAATTCAAACCTAACGAAAAAAAATTTCTTTTTTAATAAATTTTGTTGGCTTACTATAGTTTTCGTTGGATCAGTTAAAGAAAAAAGTACAACTTGCTCTAGACTCAGTTCTCCACTATCATCGATGTCAACTTCTGTTTTGTCAGCACTGTTAATATCACGTCTTATTAAATTTTCAAAATACCCATACCCATTCCCGTTTAATTGATGCTACAGCTGAATTTTATCAACAGAATTTATTCGATGCTAATTTAACATTATCTGTGTTCAAACCTGTAAGTGTTCAGGAGATCCTAGATATTTCTGTCTCAAAAAAATCGACTGCAAGGCGACGTGGTGAAAGGAGGAATCCACAGTTTTTTGTTGAAAGACATGTTCATCACACTGTTGGAGTTATGGTTTGGGGTGCTATAGCTTATGGTTCCAGGTCACCTTTAATCTTCATCAGAGGTAACATGAACGCGCAGCGTTATATCCACGAAGTTCTAGAACCCCGTCTTTTACCCTATCTTGACACCCTGGCAGATCCAACTTTCCAACAAGATAATGCCCGACCACATGTTGCAAGAGTCTCAATAGACTTCTTTCAACATAATGATGTCACATTGTTACCATGGCCACCAAGATCTCCCGACTTATCCCCAATTGAGCACGTGTGGGATATGATGGGTAGGAGATTGCTCAATTTGCAACGTCCTCCTCAGACTCTAGAAGCACTTCGAGAGGAGTTGGTGATTGCCTGGAATGAGATACCACAGGAGGACATGACCACCTGATCAGAAGCATGCCTAGGCGCGTTGGAGAATGCGTAGCACATCAGGGTGCATCCACACATTATTAAAGGTCAAAGGGCTTTAAAGCAGTGCAATCATTTTGAAATTTTTATCATTTACTTATTATGCTTCATTAAGTACTTATACAAAATTTTATTAAAATAAAACCATTTAAACTGGGTGTTCGGATTTATATGTCACTTAGTATATGTTTGGAAACTGGGAGCTTAATGACTGGAAAGAAGCAATAATTCTTCCTCTAGCCAAAGTAAAAAATCCCATAACTCTTGATCATATACGACCCGTCAGCATACTGTGTTTCTTTTCAAAGATATTAGAAAAAGCTGTTGATCTCCAACTAGCTGAATATTTACTTACTGTCCATCAGTCTGGATTTCGTGCTGGATACAGTACAACTTCTTTACTCTCCATTTGACAGACAATATCTTAAATAATATGCATAAATATATTAATACAGTTTTAGTTATGGTCGACTTCTCTAAGGCGTTCGACACGGTTAACCATAAAATTTTGTTGAGTAAGTTAAAGTATATTGGACTTTCTGACATTCCGCTTAAATTTTTTGAAAATTACTTAACTAATCGTAAACAAAAGGTGAAGACAGTAAGAGGTCTCTCATCTTCTGCTACTGCTACTTCTGCTGTACACAAGCTTGCTTCCATTAGATGCTAGAAAATTAAATAGCTTATTAGACCTATGTAAATCAAAAGCAAACAGTCTTCCTAGCATAGGTTGGACATTATCAAACTTTCAACTAGCTTCTTACGCATTTTAAAGTTCAAAATGAATCTATTAGCATATAGCAGTCTTAATTTGATGTAGGTGGACTTCGATCGATGACACACGTGTTTGTCAAATCTTAAACTAGAGTCGAAGATGACACCAAGATTTTTTGCTTGTTCCACAATAGGAATGAGCTCGGTGTTGATGCTCAATGCAATTCTGTTACTGACTCTATTATGCACATGTTTAGGATAAAAAGTATGCAAGTACTCTTATCCGAATTAATCTTCAACATGTGTCTTTTACAAAAATCAGTGATGTTGGCCAGATCACAATTTATCTTATATGACACTTCATCCAGATGAGACAAGTCAAAATGATAAGAAAGCTGAGTATCATCCGCGTAAGTTTGTATAGCACAAAGCTCAATACATGAACGTAAATCAAAAGTATATATCAAATACAGTAAAGGACCTAAGACAGAACCCTGAGGGACACCTGAAGAAACGGCAACAGAAGATGAAATACCTCTAACTGACTTTTGTTTACGATTATTAAAGTAATTTTCAAAAAAATTAAGCGGAATGTCAGAAAGTCCAATATACTTACTCAACAAAATGTTATGGTTAAACGTGTCGAACGCTTCAAAGTCGACCATAACTAAAACTATATTAATATGTTTATCCTTATTATTTAAGATATTGTCTGTCAAATGGAGAAGTGAAGAAGTTGTACTGTGTCCTGCACGAAATCCAGACTGATGGACAGGAAGTAAATTGTTCATCTCTAAATATTCAATTAGTTGGAAATTAACAGCTTTTTCTAATTTCTTTGAAGAGAAACACAGTAGTATACTGACGGGTCGTAAATGATCAAGAGTTATGGGATTTTTTAATTTGGCTATATGGTCCGAGAAAACAGGACAGGATTTTTTTCTACGAATTCAACGATGAATCACATGCCACATTTGTTTTCTAACTTATGCAGAAAAATGTGTTTTTTTATTTTTTTCAAGTGGGCAATGCAAACAAATGCTTGATGTAAGATTATGTGATGCATACATAATGATATGATGGGGTAAAATTGTATAAAATGGTAATCTAGTGATATTCAGACAGACGATTACATATCTCACATTATTTTTATTTCATTCACAATAAGTGTTCAAATACCTTCAATTTCTCTTTTCGGCAGCTCTAACGGTAACGAAGCTTGAGGTTGTACACACTATTTGGACACCGTGTATAAGAAGGCGAACATAATACTCAATCAGAGAACGATATTACGTGCATAACAGCTCGCGTACTCGTAATCCGATATCGGCCTATAAAATCAAACCTATGTTAAATAACGAGAGCGACATCAAAAATCGTATGTCCGTACGAATTTCCCACCTGGCGGTGACGGCGATGGAGGGCGCCATTGCGCATGACTGTCAGGCCAGTAATGAGCCTCGCCAATAGGCGCTCCTTGTTGGGATCGCCGAGAAATACGACGGTGTTGCCAGATTTCGCCTAGCATCATGCGCGGCAAAGTTACAGTTGGAAACCGTAATTTCGAAACAACCCTCGTGTATATACAGGGTTATCCAAATTAAGTGTCCACCATTAGTAACTTTGTTATTAGTGAAAATACAAAGTTGTTTGAATTAGCAAACTAGTAGCATTTTTAACGCTGGTAAAAATGAGAAATAAAAAAAAACAATTGAGAGTCGTTATT